TTAATGCTCCTCTCCTGCCCTCTTTCCTTCCCTTTTTTCATTCTCTCTTTCCTTCCAATCAAAGTTTCAGTGTGCAACAATAAGACTGCTTACTCTCTCAAAAGCTGTTTAAGTGAATTTCACTGGCTCACCGGGGAATCGCCCCACTGAGGCTTTTGAAGGCATTGAAGCAGGGAGAGAAAGTAATTACTTTTTTCCCTAAACAGAAGTGGGGCGCGGCGTGGTGTGTGTATACAAGCTTATGAGTGTGTGTGCATGTATGAGAGAATAAATGAGTTTTTGTGCATATATGCTGGTTTGTGGGTCCGTCATGTTTTTTGTGTGTAACTGTCCAATGCTGTGTTTGTATGTGAGACAGAGAGACACACACTTATTGAACAAATGGGATCTCACACTCAAGTGAAGAACAAAGCCAGCAAGGTTTGTGTTCATGTATTTGAATGTTGTTTTATTGCATTTAACCATTTAACGTCTATGACAGAGTCTCAACATTAGACTTTTAGAGGAACGTAGAAATCACAGCAAGAGTTTTATCTTATCAAAACAATTTTCAATTCTCAGATACTGATAATATATATATATTTACATGTTAATGCTGCCCAAGGTAAAGGTGTATTCTTGCCCATAAATGAGGATGACGACCTGCAGTTAAAAGAGCTGGTTGTCTACAGTGATGCATATGCTGCACAGCTGTCCCTCGGTGAAGAGGGAGTGGAGCCTTGAAGCAAAGATCTAATTTTACCCTTTAATATGTGTGCCCACCATGTTTTCATGAAAACAGTACTTGGAAGGACAGAGTAATAAGAAGCTGACCACAAAGGTAACTGAATGGCATAAGGACAAACATCGTAGCTGCAAACATTAAAGAACATCCACATGTTACATAAGTAGGCAACTAGTGCATGAAATAAACGTTGACCTCAAAAGGTTTTGCATAAAAGACAAAGGCTATGGGATTATTTTTGTCCGGACCTGTAACAGTTAAATTGGTGATGTCTCCTGTAATATCCTTGCTGAGCCAATCTGGGTTCTCTTAGATCATCACTCCAGTCTCTGATTACACACAAATATAGGTTTTATTTTCCCAAAGCAACAGTTCTTGCAGTTTATCAACCTATCTTAAAGAAGAAGGAGAAAAAGAACTTAATTAATCCACGAAAGGAAAAGTGCGGGTAAAGAAAAAAGGCAAAGAGTGTTATGCTTTTTTTTTTTTTTCAGACTGTCTTTCTCATACCTCTAATAGCTATACATGATTTTCTGATTAAAAAAAGCCCCATCCCCTCTATTGTGGTCAATCAGTAGAGCAGCAGTACACTGTAGGAGGCAGGCTGTTTGGCTTTGCTGGAGCACAGATGAACTAGACTATAATACTCGCACAGGTATTTCAGTGAGTCTTGAGTTTTCTCCCAAGGTATCAGTTTTTTAAAGGTGACCACATTTGCGCAATGAAATCGGGAACATGGGGGGGGGGGGGGGGGGGTGTCTTCTTTTAGATAAACAGGTAAACAGGACTGCGCACTATATGCTCACTTCCGCTTCCTGCTACATGGCTACCGTAATAAATGTTCCAGTCTACAAGCAGCGTTTCCCTCATTCATGAAACGCTAAAATCTGGGACATTTCCGGGGACGGCTTTAGCCGCGGACAGGTCATTTAAAACGGGGACTGTCCTTGGAAATTAGGGATGTCTGTTTACCCTTCATTTTGAGTCGTTTACATCTATTTTCTATGATTAAGACAACATACATTTACCTAGTGATTTGAAACTTAGCATACATCTAGTATGGACATCAAACATTCTAACCTTGTATTTTAGATGTAAATCTGTAAAAGCAAAATACCACCCCCTTAAGCACGGACAAAATCTTTGTCAAATGTGTTTGTTTTGATTTTTGCTCGAGTCACAAACAGACGTTAGATTTGATTGAAGGAGCAAGACTTGTGGATGACCAGCTGCCTCCTTCCCAAAACAAGGACAGATGCTGCATCAGGAATTTGCTTTTCTACAAAGATAGTGCCAGCTAGAAAAATGGCATTTTCTTGAAGAAAATGCATGGAAATGTGAGTGCTTAAAGCTGACAAATCCATGCATAAGTGCAACAAAGGGAGAAAATTTAAATGTAAAAACTGGTAGAGTATGACAAGAAGTTGCATAAATGTAGAACTTGCTGAAGAGCTGAAGCAGCAGAAGTAGGAAGTTGTATGAATATACATAGAAATTGTTGAAGAGCTGAAGGTAGAAGAAGAAAAAAATGTCTATAAATATATTAACTGTTGAAAATGTTAAGTTGTTTGAATGCAGAAAATGCTGAAGAGCTGATGTGTAAGAGTAAGTTTATTCATGTAGAAAGTGTTAAAGAGCTGAAGAAGTTGTCTGGATGTAGAAACCGTTGAAAATATTAAGTTAAAGAAGTTGTTTGAAAGAAGAAAATGTTGAAGTGTTGAAGTTAAAGAAGTTTGAATGTAGAAACTATTGAAGAACATATAAAGAGGTCTGAGTGAGGAAACTGTTAAAAATTGAAAAAAGTTGTATGGTTGTGGAAATTGAAAGAACATGTTTAATGTAGAAGCTGTTTTTGAGATGAAGTTAAAGAAGTTTTATGAATGAAGAAATTGTGAAAGAACTGAAGTTGTAAGAATGTAGAAACTGCTAAAAAGTTAAATAATAAAAAGAAGTTGTATGAACATAGAAACTTTTGAAAAGCTGAAGTTATAGAAGTTGTATGAATGTAGAAACTGTTGAAGAGCTTAAGTAGTAGTAGTAGTAGAAGAAGAAGTTGTATGTATGTTCAAACTGTTAAAGACCTGAACTATAACAACATAATAGAAAGGGGGGTGTAGGTCTTACAGACAGAAAGCCTCTCACAGACACACATGGTCAGAGTGTGTGTGTCGGTCTCATAGACAAAATAACATTTTTCTCAACTGACTTCCCGACTGAGCATGGCTGACTTGCTCGTTGTTCAGAGGCAAACATCACTCAAACTATAATTGGATGGAAACATCACGTGGTAAAATATGCCTTAAGGGTTTGCAAATAAATAAAAACTGAAAAATAAAAGTGTCTGGCAGACTGAGACGGTCCCATTGCACCACACTTTTACAAAATTATCAAATTATCATACATTTAGCCTTTTTTCTGGGTTGTTGATCATACATTGTACAGACTGCAAAATTATTGTACTATTATGATAAGTATCATATACCTGGCAATCTTGTTGCCCATTCATTTTTAAGGTAAAAATTGTGCACAAAAAGTGAAAAATTTCAAAAAAGTAAAAAAGGTAAACGGAAAAAAATACAAGCACACTTGTCCTAAAGAAGTGGAATGCTTGGTTGAATGGTTTTCCCTCTTCAGTAATTGCCTGCACCTGTGTCTCATTGTCTCACCTGTCTCTCGTTGCTCATTTCCCAGTGTGTGTATGTAGTTCCTGTCTTCCCCTCTTTCTTTGTTGGTTCATTGCATGTGTATGTCAGTGTCAATGTGCTCTTTGTGATTTTTTCCCTATTGTCTTCTGAGTCAAGCGTTGTTTTTTTTCCATGTGCCTTTTTTTTCTTTGGATTTCACTCCTGTTGGGCTTGGAATTTTTCAGTTGGACATTTTCTGTTAATGCAAGTTTTCTTTGTTGTTTCTCATTTAGTACTTTGTTTAATAAATCATTTTTTAGTTCTGCCAAAACGATATATATGTGTGTGTGTGTGTGTGTGTGTGTGTGTGTCCGTGTGTGTGTGTGTGTGTGTTTCCGTTTCCTCTTGTTCCTGTTTCCCTGTGTTGATTGTTCTTATATTCCTGTTTTGCTTTTCTGCTTGGTCTTGTGGTTAGTTTTTAGTGTTTCCCCTGTATTCGCAGTGTTTTATTCTTTAGATAAGTTTTCAGTGTTTCCTGTTTTATTTTGTAGCTGTCAATCCCTCTGTGACTAGTTGAGCTGTACTTCCTGTGTTATCCCTTCTCAGTTATTGTCTGCACCTGTGTCTTAGTGTTTCACCTGTCTCTTGTTGTGTAAATAGTCCCAGTATTCCCCTTTTTCTTTGTTGGTTCATTTTGTGTGTATGTCTCTGTCAGTCCCTACCTCAAGCTCCTCGATTTAATAAATCATTTTTAGTTCTACACATGGGTCCTCCCTTTTTGCTTTGTGTTCATATGTGATAAAATATGCTTTCACAAGAAGTTGCTGATGGTGGCTCTGCTAAGGAGCAGCAGATACCCTTCCCAGCCCTTGCTCCTGTGGTTTTTCTCTGCCTGAAGCAAACTACAAAACCTTGCAGTTGGTGTGTACAACTGACCATAAGCCCTTGGTTTGATTATCCATTAACACTGATGGTCCTATTCAGCTGTGTGACTCTGGGCATGTAAAAGCCATATGTGGAACATACCATCTACCTAAAGGTATCTGAAAAAATATAACCGCGATTACACATATAAGTACTGTAAATTACTGCATATGTGAGATATGATATATTCTCACCTATTGATCCGAAGGACACATGCATCCTCTTGTATGTCCATCCCCTTGCTATTTGTGAAGGCAAAGTTGAAATTGTCCAAATGCCCCCCTCTCCTAGTCCAAGACTGCAGGAAATTGCGTTTTCAGTTGTAAACACAAATGCAAATTTGCACCTGTGCACACACATAGAAGCACACAAACTTTTCATACACATGTATCTCACTCCTAGACATCCATATCTGGTGGCACGTAAAGTTTTATTTAATTCTTATGGTGTTTAGTGAATGATATAGCACTTCAAACACTCTGAGTCCATGGATTAAACACTGTGTGCACAGCGCCAAAGGGATTACAATTGTGCGCTGGCACAATCTGTTGTATCACTGTGGAAAAGTAAAATTCAGAGCCCTGGTGATTGAGTGACTGTAAACAGGGTTGCAGTGTGTTGTTTTGGTTCCACAAAAACAAGGTCAAAAAACATTTTTTTTTCAATAGAAGTCTGTTGCCTTTTTTGCAGACAAAGTAGGCTGGATGGAGCCAAAATGCATCAACAGTGGTCCATGGGCAGCACGTTTTTTTTCTTTTAATATGATGAAAAATAAGACTTCCCGCCAAATTTGATGCCTCAATCTTTAAAAATGTGACCATCAACTCAAAATAATGATGATAAAAATAATGAATGTCCTTAAAACACACGTTAGTAACCAAAACGGCGAGTCATATCGGAGTGTTTTGTTTTATGGTACAGATCTGCCTGGTCCAATGCATCCATGATGTTCACAGTTCACATGATGAGTGTTGCTCCTCCTCTGGCACGGATAACTTTGATCAGCTGACTTGAGTGCATATCTAACTAGGCCATAAACTTCTCCTCAAGAGGAACAACCATGGAACAGCCTCTAGAACTCAACCATAGGTTGTGACCAATTCACGAAGGCTCACTGAAGTAAATCCTGAAGCATGCAGACTTTGATCATTTTAGTTCCATTCTTACCTCCTTCTGTATAAAGAGTGCAGGCCATCTGTCCTTGACGTCCTGAATGCTTGGTTCTTGGTTTACTACCGTGTTCGACCCTTTTGTCGTCCCTCATCCTGCTCTCTGTCACAAATTGTAGTCTCACTTTTTCCAGGCTACCAGAGTCTTACCCGTCAGAGAGGTTAGATAAAACTTAGCTTCAGACAGTTTTGGCTTCTTCACTTTTTTAGCAGGGAAAGTATCTGTAGTAGCTTTAGATTTCAAGGAGTTAACACACAGCTCTGGACACCCCAGTAATTTGATCTGAGTCCTGTAGTTTCTGTACTTCTGATGCTGTTTCCAATGTAGCAGCCATTGAATTAGCCAGGTATCAAACATGGATGCTTTTTGATTAGTACCACTGCAGCTGTGCAGAAATGTGCGTCCCCTGCGTGGGCCTTGTAATGACAATTGTCCATGTCTGGAGACTTCTGTCTTAGTACATTTGAAATGTCCTCATTAGGAACATCAGTGTGAACAGTGGAAACAGGTAAAGAGGTATCAGAGGACGCATCTGATATCCCATGCAACTCTTTTAAAAAAGCTATTCTTTGCATCAAAACACATACGTAGTCCATATGGCAACTAGTGCCCGAAACTTATGGATCAAGTATAGATAATGTTCCAAGAAATGGTGCTTTGGTTGAAGTTCACATTCTGGGAAACCCTCTTGAAACTGAGTGCTCAGAGATATTAAAAAAAAAACAAGATATTCGATGGAGTCCTAAGTATGAACAGGACTGACAATGAGATCAACAATATCCTTCAGGTCTAAGATCTGCCAAGCAGACTCCTCACAGGGAACTCTCTGCCCAATGAACAAAGGCAAAAATCTGCTTAGACTCAATTTTTCAAGTGCATTTTCCCCAAGGATTTTTAGATATAAAACTGAGAGCGACAGGATGAGGTCGATTTGTTTTGTCAGCCCACTTACAGTTGAAAGATGATTTACTTCATTCAATGTAAAGAATGTGAAATATTGTTTGTGATTAACAAACTGAGCTAAAAAGAAACAATTCCTTCAAAAAGACCATGTACAATGTCAGGTGGAAACCCGGTGGTGACATCAAGATATGAGAGGTTCTCTGAAAAAATACACTTTGATTTCACACCCCAATTACCGGGCAATTAGTTTTCCTCAAGGATTCAAAAATGAGGGTTAAAAACAACCCAATATGGGTAGTTTCCCAACCAAGCACTGGTTAAATATTGGACAGAACACATACTGGGTTAATTTTACCTGAGTAATTGGGTTGGTTCCTTTAACCCAACAATTTGGTTGTTTATATAACCCAACTAAGGGTTCACAATAACTACTCTGCTGGGTTCTTTAAACCCAGCATGTTGGGTTGTTAATATTTTACATAACATTAAATAACATTAATCATTAAATATTATTATTTTAATTTTAATTACTACATAATAAATTAAAGTAAACCATCACATTATCATCATTGTGCAAGAATGTAACAGTTATTTATTACAATTCAAAAATCACAGAAGACACAAAAATAATATACATACATCGCATACATCATACATTCAATCATCGAAATCTAAAGCAAACCTAACTCATGACTCACTCGAGCCAGCTCGTGTCCGTGCAGACAGTGTCCATTTGACTCATGAGACCCGTCAGGCACACCACCACACTGCACATCAGCTAAGGTGTTAGCTTGCTACGCTTGAGGCAATGTACTTTATGCTACTAATGTTGGCTAACCATTAGCTTGCTCACCTACCAACTGATTCCTGAAGGCAGAAGCTGGTACACAACAGTGCTTTACAAACTTGCATCTTAACAACAAAATGAGGGTTTCTATCATAATATCAAGTCATCTATATGGTAAAGCAATCGTGGGAATGTAACAAACCTTGCTTTGTAGGTCTCCTCGCTTCAGCAATTGTGGCATCAATCTGGTGAGTGGTTGGTGCTTGGTTTCAAATGCCCTAACGTCTACCCAATGTGTTGGGTAGTCCACAATAAACCAACAAAACTGTATAGAAATTACAACCCAACAGCTATCAACTTTGTTCCCAACATAAATAACCTTGTGTATTGGGTACTCAGAATGTCCAACTTCATGAAAATAACCCAAATAAATTGACGAACAGGCTCAACCTAGTGGTTGGGTTGAAAAAACAACCCAGTATTTTTTTGTGTGTGACTTCTTGAGTCTGAAACTCTGATCTTTTTGCAGTGTAAAATCTAAATAGGTATGCCCCTGAGAAATTTTCAGCAAATTCAGCATTACTGTGCGCACCAAGGTTGTCAGCAGCGACCAGACACTGAACTGTACCTTTTACTGTTCTGCCCAACTTTGACAGAAATACCCCACTCTGTTCCAAGATCCTTAACTACAGGTTTTAACACTTTCTCATACCCATAACACTTTAGATCATGACCTTTGATTAAAGCAGCCAAATAGATGGAGGATAAAGCAGAATTACAGCCTGGTGGCAAGTTACCCAGAATCCACTATAAACCACAAATTTTATGCTCCTCCTTGATGTACCAGGCGGATAACATATTTTTTAACTCATCAATGTATAATATGAATGAAATGCTTTCCTGCTTAGACAACAGTCCATTTTCATTGAAGAAGACGCCATCAAAGATAGTTTTGTATAAGTGCACTCAAGCTCTCTGAGGCGGACTATCTACAGTATTCCGATTAACAGTCTGACCCTAGATTGTGTGGCAGTCAAGAATATGCAGCAAGGGTTTTAAAATAGAAACATATTGAAATGACTTATGATTCTTTCAATCAAGTATACTGTATATTCCACTGGTTTCGCTACATTAAAGTGGCTCTTATGGTAAGCTTTTCACCGCCTCAAAGCACTGGAAAGTGGATCTTTATCTCTAATTGTTTTTGTTTTTTTCCAGGGTTTGTCTCACAGAGTACACTGGCTAGCTTTTCAAACACGTACTGGTCAAATTGGCATCCATTGTCTTGTAGTATTTGGCTAATAGTCTTTTGGGTAATCTCCTGTCAGGTTGGAGCTTGGAAGACTTTGTCCTGGAAGGCAGCTGGCCCAGACGGTGTGTGTCCAAGGCTGCTTAAAGACTTTGCTGCAGAACTGTCTCAACTGTGTCCTCTACATGCTTCACTGTGCCCTGGATTACAGATTACCTGACAGGAAGGCCACAGTTTCTGGGACATTATGAACAGTACAGGGGCTCCACAAAGGATAGTCCTAGTTCCAGTCTTGTTCACACTGTATATATCAGACTTCTAATATAGCACTGAGTTCTGTCACTTACAGAAATACCCAGATAACACAACTATTATGGCAAGTACCAAAGATGAACAAGAAGCCAAATCACCCATTTGCCTCCTTCATGATGTGACTTTTTAATGTGTCTCATGTGTTTGTTCGCATCCATTTATCCTTAAGTCACAATCAAGACATCCTTTGTTATGGTGTCCAGCTCTAAGTCCTCTCTCTGTCAACTTTAGTGTCCTGTTGACAAAGTTTAGTTTTCCCTCCATAAAGGATTTGCGCCAACAAATCCAACAGCTTTTGAACAGTTAATTTGGAGACTATTAAGAAGATGATGTATAAACAAGCCTATTCTGTGAATTCACACCGGCTTACCAACACAGGCTAGCTACTGTGAGCAAAATAGTTAAACTATTTTTTTTCTGTCTTGAGTGAAAAATAAACCTATTTGTGCAGAAAATGATGAGCCAAGGGTCATGGTTTGTTATTTCAGAAATAATAATAATTTTAACATGAAACAATAAATGTTCAGCAGATAGGGAGTCAGGACTAGAAATAAGAGCCCCAGAGTTGTACAAACAAGCTTTTGGTCAGGGACTTTCTTCTATGCTTGAAGAAGAGGCAAGAAATGAAAAGGGTTTTTTTTTTACTAAAAACTAACCTCATTGAATGAAGAAGAGAAAACTAAAGCTGCTCTCAGTATTGTATCAGCGTTTGTGTAAAACATAGTCATTTTCTTTCCCTGAGCTGGAAAACGTGTTACTCACACACCAGTCTGTCCTCCTTCTCTAAAGCACAGATTTGTTCCTCATTGTCAGCTCAGTGTCAGATCACGACCTGTTTCTGGTCATGTCACTCTCAAGTACGTTTTTGAATGTGGAGATTATTCTTACTTTTCATGTGCTGCCGACACCTCTCTCTTCTGTTACAGAGTGCTAATAATGTATTCTTACGTCCTAGCTGAATCAGAGATGTATGTAAAAAGTTGTTGGAATATAGGGGAGACTGCCCAGAAGGAGGGGATCTTTTATTATTGATAGCTGCTCCAAGAATAGATCTTTAGAGGAGGCTATGGAGGTTGACATTGTTTGTAGTGGCAGGTAAAGAAGTGCCATTAGCCCACTTGACTGTCCCTTAAAGCATGGTACAGAGCTCTTTTCAGTTACTGAACGTGAAATGGACAAGCTCATTTCTCAAACATGCTCTCTGAATTGACACTCTCTTCTCTCCTGTACATGCAACAGAACCTTAGTTCAAAGATATAATGCATTTTTACACTTGGGTTATTAAATGAAAAAGCAACTTTGAGTCAAGTAAAAATTATGTCCGATATGAACTCAGAGACTTACATCAATGTCAGAATGAAACTGAGCTTTTGGTGGTCCTGCACATTGCCAAGGTTTTGCATTTGAGCTTTCCTGATTCTTTCCTCCTGCAGCTCATAATTAAAGCATGCCTGTACACCTGTGGCTATGCCTGGAATGATCCTGAAGGTTGTACAAAGTGTTACAGAGACTTCAACAACTGTTTAATGTGGAGCCATGACCCTGAAATAAGTGAAACATGGGTGTTATTCATTCAAAGTACCTATTACGGGGGAGGATTCCACGGCAGCACCTGCTGCTCATTGAGTAGAGGAAGATTGGTTTGTGCTTTCACGTCAGGGTCCCCAAACCCTGGAAAAGTTGCTGAATTTGTAAGTATAGCAACAAAGTTGCTTAGTTGGCATCATTTTATTTTGTCCAGAGATGTTACATGTAAATAAAAAAAAAACATAAATCAACAAAAAATGAGTTAAGAAAGTCAGGTTTTGAAATTCAGTTGAAGGATCATCAAGTATTTTCAAAAATAACTTTCTTCATCTTTCCATGAGTATATCGAAGGGGAGAATTGTAAAAAAATAATTCAAGGCTTAATTATTTATAAATTATGACCATCTTTGAATTACAACTAATACTGTTATATTTTTGTTTCTTACAGATTTTTTCCAATGAGCTGACATGTCAGTGAGAAGACCAGCCAAGCTCTAAATCCAGATGACACCAGGAAGCTAATTCTGCCTGATAGAACCCCAGACACAACGGATGAACTTATAAATAAAGTTAAGGAAGTGTTTGGATTCGGTGGGAATATGCGATTGCATTACCAAGACAGAGACTTCGGATGTGAGCTAATGAACTTAACATCCATAGCAGGACTTGAGGATTTAGCGACTATCAAGACCATTCCACTTACCGAGGATTCCAGTCAAAACTTAAATCTTACTGTTGTTGATTTAGAAGACACAGAGCTCTTGTCCACACTCTCCAGCTCCATCTCTTCAAGGACTCAGATATGGCCAACGCAGTTTCCAATACCAGCATCTGCCTACAACACTGAACTACAGTTGAAAAAGGGAAATGCAGTGTACAGATCAAACAGGACAAGGTTTACATGAAGTACAAAAACCAAGTCTGATATTCTGCACAAGGTAGCAGAAGAGATATTGAAGTTCAAAGTCTACCAACTGATGGTGACTTTGCTAATGTTGCCGAAGCACTTGCTAAAAGGCACCCATGCCTTTCTGAGCCTGGTTCGTAAAATGGTTGTTCTGGATGGAAACGGCAGCTTAAGACAAAAATAGGCAATTATCGAGCTCGACTAAAAGGTATTGGCTGCTCTGAAGTACTTGCAAATGCACTCGAGTCCAAAGCACCAGATGACGCACAGACAGCAGAAAAAGTAAAGGGACCCAGGAGAGGAGAAGCCAACCACATTCCTGAAACTCCAACTGGAGAGACCTTAGACAAGCTGGAAGGGGAGAGACTGTTACTTCTAAGTGAGGTGAGGAAGTGAATCAATCGAAGAGTGATTAAGGAAAAAATGGCCAAGACCTTATCTCTGCCAAGACAAGAAATTGTTGAGAAGGAATCAGGAGTCAAGGAGTTAAAAGAGAGATAGCCTGCTCTCCTCACAGTGGATAAGGCAAGTAATTGTTTCTTCAATAGGTCATTAATGTCTTGCACAAACTGATATCACCTACCATAAGATTCCTGCAAAAAAGAGCCAAACCAAGCAAGAGTATATATTTTGCTACTGTTGTTTTAGAATTGTTATTTTCTATGAATAATTGTGATGACATTTTTTCCCCAAATTTAGTCAAAGTTGGACCTGTGTCAGTTGTCAATGATTTGTTGGCTTGGTGGCACAGAATACCAACATAGCTATGGGGAAACACAGAACTAGACTCAGTGTTGAGTGTCAAATATATGCTGTTATGTGCTAACATTTGCATGCACTCTTTTTGTTGTTCTTCTTTTTTTAAGGTCAAAAGTGATTTTTTTAGAAATTCAACTGTTACTCTCCAGTCAAGGTGTTTTGCATTCATTTAAGCCAAAACTGTGCAGTATTCAGTAGGCCGGAAATTCATCAAAGTTGATTAAATTCAAAAGTTTATTATTATTATTGTTGTTGTTGTTGTTGTTGTTATTTATACATTGGACATTGAACACTGAGCTGTATTCTTCTGTGTAAATGTCCTTGTTCTCCCTTTTATAATGTTTGAAAAATTGTGGCATACAGGTTTTCTCCAAGTGATAGACAAGTTTTAGCAATGTAACAGATTTTTATATTTTAGTAAAGCTTTGTGTCAAACAGTCCATCCATGTTTTTGAGGAAGATATTGTCAAACAAGCTTGTTAATTTTTTCATAATAAAAAAAAAATACAGAGTCAACCTAAGATTTAAAACAAAGAATGTAATCCACCTTTGAGCCTTATTCTGGTAGTTTTCCTCTTTTCCGTGCTCATATAAAGCACATGCTACCTCTAGTTAGTGCAATAATATATTCTAAGTGTCATTATAACTACAGTGTTTTATTCATGTTGAAGAAGTTGGAAAAACTGTTTCTGTCTGAGGAGAAATCTTGTAACTATTTATAATTGATAACTGTAGTTGGTAGAATTTATATATATTGACTCTAACTAAAGTATTTCCTTTTTTTGGTTCAAACTAAAAAATAACATGTAATCCTAAATCTTATTTCAAAGGAAGTAATATTGTCCCTTTTAACAAGAGATACTTGTGCTTTCTGTTGAGGTAATTTCTTTAACTTTGACTAATGAATAATTTTGATTTATCAAATCCAACTTTGGGTCAAATCAAATTAAATTTTGGACAGGGAAGAATAAAAATATGAGAATAAAGAATGAAAACATCTGTAACAAATTAGAGTAATATTTTTTAGTTGATCCAGAGTAACATTTTGTACTGATAGAAAATTTCTTCAAAGGAAGGTTTTTCATGAGACTGTGTGTGTGTACTTGATAAACTCTCATGACACACTGGGTTAAACTTGACTCAAAATGAAAGACATCCGGCCTTGCCCCCTTCACTTAGACATGCTCCAGCTAAAACCTGCCACTCCCTCTCCCTCACCCGCCTTGACAATCGCTCACTTGGCTTGCCATCCATTCCTCTCTCTATCCTTTTGCCCGTTAAGAAGTGTCACATGCTTTTTGCATGACAATATTCACAACCTCATCCTGCTCTGACAAACGTGACCTCTTTCCCCCTTCGTTATACCATCCCTGATTTCCTCTCTTGCTAAAATCTGTCCCGCCCTGACAGCTTACGGAAAGGCTGATCTTAATACCGCTGGTGGATCTGGAGAAGCTGGAGACAGCCATAGACATGGGCACTTGCATATGTATGAATACACACTGCATAATGTCATAATGCTATAAATACATGCACACAGAGCCTGCACTGTAACACTTGAGAGCACACACTTAAGAAAAGTAAAGACATTTATGTATTCTATCAGTCACATTTGAGAAATGGATGTCCTGATGAAATAGAGTGTCTGTTGTTGATTATGTTTATTTGATCAGGAATGCTGCATGTATTCACATACGTAGCTACAGTATATTGATGTCTTTGATTTATGAGCTTGTAGATATAAGGGAAAAAATGTCAACTGTAGCCTCTCTGCCTCTTGTTTTAAAATAGACAACATTGTTTTTTTTTCCTTTTATAAGATTAATTCTACATATGGAATAATAACCTTTTTAACTTCCTGATATGAACTCTAGAGAGAGACAAAGGCTAAAGTTACACAGAGCGTCCAGTAAGCAGTGTTCTCCATGTTGTATAAATATAATTTTCAATGGAGATTTCATTGTCCCCTCTTCATATGTTAAAGTAAAAATCCTACCATGGACTTGTTACTGTGGTATTTGCATTTTTGTTCCCTATTAAGCACCATGAACCCCTAAAACCAAACCTCTTATAAACAAAGCTCAGCCCACCTGGTATCCCTCAAGCAGGTCTTCACTCCCACCTCCCAACTGCATCCTGCTAATGATGATAGGGCCTCATGTCGTGAGCCAGACTCTTCTCCTCTGATGTCCCCCTGTGGTGGAATGAATCACCGAACTCCATTTAATCTACAGAGTCCCTCTACCTGTAAGTAAAACTGAAACCTCAGCTCTTTTGGGAACACATAAGCACTGATGCTCAGCTCCTGTCCTCTGAAGTTCACAGGGGTTGAATGAGTTACTATTCCCATTTGAAGCGCACAGTTCCCTTCTACTTCTGAGACACTTTCCAATCCAGCTCTTAGAGAAAGACTCAGCATTTCCAACTTAATTTGAGAAGATAATGAGGATGAGGATTCACTGGTTTCATGGTAATGATGGTATGTATTTCACCTTTGTTATGGATTTATTCTTTCCTTTCCTTCCTTTATATCACAGAGTCCTCTGTCATTCCGACATCATAACTGCATTTGTGTGCTTTATGCTGCTGTAAATATTTGTTTTACCACTACGTCCTGCAGTTATCCACTTTTAGTCAAAAGGAAAATTTTAACAAGAAAGAAACTCTATTCCACTCAGTGCATTTTGCTTTAGAAGAGTTATTATGATTGTTTTGATGATCAGAAACAAAGAGGGCATCTTAGATGTTGTTGTCTTTGGTTTCAACAGGTTTCCTACACTGCTTCCTGATCCAATATATCCTTAAATCTATACATTGTAATCATTGCTGCTCTACCGAGTCTCGCTTCCCTCACCACTGGGAGCTTCAATGGACTCAGACGTTCCCATATTTCAACATTTGGTTCAAATCATTGCATTCTTACAAGGCTGTTTTAAGGAGTGATCTCCAGTGATGAATCAGAACCAGTGTAGTGTGACAGTATCATAGAGGATTCTCTTCAGATCAGACTGCCTGGGCTTTGGTTTCACCACCACAGGGACCCACAAGAACAAGATTTTTCATTATATTTTAATGGTCTTCAATCCATTTGATTCTTGCTGCATTGGGGAATGCCTGTGACAGGGGTAACAAATGAATTTTACACAGTATCATCTCATATTAAACTGTGTGGTGTTAGCATGAGAAAAGAAAAGGGAAACACGACACAGTGTTGCACAGCAGTGCTCGTTTTTCCACAGCTGATGACTAAGCAGGGCTGTTCTGTGCTGTTTTACTGAAAAACCAGGACCATTCAAGATTTCTTTTTAGTCTTAATTTGACCTTCAGCAGAAAATCTTTAAATAAAATCCAATTTAATCTTCAATTATGAGATTCCATATCTATTAAAAGAACAGCCTGAATCCTTGTGCTTTAATTCAGTTTTATGAGTATGAATAATGTTTGGGGTAGTACTAGAATTTGGCAAATACTTGCATGTGTCCTCTGCTGCCGATGACCCACCCACCTCTGGAAACTCTCACATTAATAACCATCAAAAAATGTGAGAGGCTGGCCCTCCTTTTTACAATACAGGTTTATTAGAGCTTATTGTTACCCAGGATGCAAACCCCAAGTCCCAAACAATTCAGCCACTTGGACCTTGTCTCGTCCCACAAACTTATTCTTTCGCAAGGTCTTTAGAGTGAGTAGTTGTGTGGCCTTGTTAATCAAATGTAGTTTTATGCACAAGGGTAATTGTGTGTGTGTTTGTGTTTGTGTTTGTGTGTGGATGTTTGCTTGTGAGGGAGCTAGAATCAAGCCAACCCCTAATTACCGGCCTACTCATTAATGCCCAGGTGCCAACTTGCTTTTGGCAGAGGCTAACTACGTTTAGGCAGCCAGGGTGACATGTTAATGATGTAATCGTGCTGACCCATGTACCCCAGTGCTTAATAATCACCGTCTCTATGTACTTATAGCATGAGGGATTAAAATGAGCAGGATACTGAAACAGGGGGTTAGGAAGGGTCTCGAGACCCTGTGGAGACCCTCTGGGAGGAGCTCGAGCTTCAGTTTAATTGGTATGACCAAATCAAAGTGGTTTGTGTGGCTGGAGTTGTGAGGGACTGTACAAATATGAGAGCGAGGCTGGTTTCACTGCATACCACCAGAGAGAAAAAATGGTGACTGTGATGTTTTAATTTTGAAACTAACCCCCTAAAAGTGCATTTCAGTATGTGGTTTTAAAGCCAGTCAGCCTTACCCTTTACCCTTATACTGTTGTGACAGGTTGTGGTCACATTTTCACACACGTCTTGTTGTATGAAGGAGATACTGTCCTGTAAGATAAGAAGTTGCTGCTTATGCAGAACATCCTCATTATCAAAATTGCTCAGGTTTATTAGCAATTAATGATTAAGTATTGTAATACAGCTTACATAACACGGGGGAAGCTCTTTAACAGGACTTTAAGGGTTTTAACTCCCAAGCTTGCAAATTCACAAATTATAATTTGACTAATGCCAGCTAAGCCAGCCAGCCCATGACAAGCCTCCAAATATCAGCCACATACAACCTGCATCTTCCTCAGTGAAGAGGCTAATGAAATGGGTGGCCTTGAGGGATTAGAGATGAACTTGTTACCTGATCCTCTTGTTGCGCCAATGACACACCCAAAGCAGAACCATTTTTGAGACATATGAACAGGCTATGAGCTGAGATAGAGAGTGTCAAATTATGTGCAGAACTGTGGGAACCATCTACAAATTTCACCTCCGACTTGAAGAACTTCCTGAGGTTGGAGATGAACTCATGGGGGACTCACTGCTGAGTGGCTCAGCTGGATAAAAGCCAGTTATTTCTGGCACAAAGTTGGCCACCCTTGCTGCATAAAAGAAGTTCAAAGCTACCCATCCATTTGGCCCATAGGCTGTTCTGTATATAGCAGTAAGAATGAATATAGGCCCAAAAGACAATTACTGTTCTGTCAAAGCAAAAGATGCCAGTTACTCTGTGACCTTGATGGGCAAACAACTGAAATTGCAGAACTGTACAGATCTGCTGCAGAGGTGCTGGTAATTCCATCCTCTCGGTTCGAGCCCTTGAAAATCCTGTGCATGAGTCTGGCTGGGTATGGGGGGCAGGAGCTGAAAAAGAGGCTGTACAACAGAGGAGCTTCCGTATGCCACATTACTCAGCTGTGGATCTCAATCTTAAGGCCTCATCAATAAAAGTTTGTCCTTCTGCTGTTTTAAGATCTTCATTAATGCTTATGGAAGGGTGGATGCTTTTGATACTTATTTTTGGAATGCAGCTGTTGCATGATTTGTTGCACAACATGCCTGAAATGTGTTTTTATCATGCAGTGAGTTGGACCGCAGACAACAGGGATGATCCAAGCACCTTTACAACTGCTCCCATACTAACCAGTCAGCACCCTGCATCCACAAACATATGACATCGGTCTGAAACAAGCAATTTTTTTTTCTACAACACTGATGTGGAGGGATACTGACTTCACAGTAACAAAGCAAATGCATACATCCAAGGAGAAAGTCAGTACGCTTCGAAAATGGCAGAAAATATGAGGTTGTATATCTAGTATGAGTCAGTCAGCCTCTTTGTGATACATGTGTCTATGCATGCTAATCCCAGAGGTGTCTTTGACCAAGGCTACAACCATTCAGACAGGCTATAGAACCAGGTTGCACCAGGTACCGGCGGGCTTTATCAGCTTTAACCTCAGACCTTCTCATCCAGGGGAAAGTGTAATAGGAAGCGGTGATGATGCATGCCAGAGGGTGACACTCATAAAGAAAACATATGAGCAACATTCACACTCTTGCACATTCATTTCAGTGTGAGAAACAGTCGGGGGAGGCTGTTGCTGTTTTGAGGAGTGGTTCAAATCATGGTAGGGTTGATGTAAAGTGTGAAAACACTTGTGAACTGTGTACATTAATGCCCTCACAAGGGTATACTCTTGCATGACTTCCAGTTCTCTGGGTAATTTCAGTACTTCATAGGAAAATTAAGGAAAACATAGTAACACTTTATTTGACACCTATCTCTATAATACATTATAAATATATATTTTTAATGCGTTAAAATCACGTTATAGCACTGTATAAAAATGCTATAGTTATAAACACTCATAAATGATCATAACGCTTTATAGCAATAATCATTACACTCCGTAACACTTTATTTGATGCCTCTCTATAACACATTATAAATACATGTATAATGCGTTATAATCCCATTAAAGCACTGTCTAACTGTAGTTATAAACATTGATAAATGATCATAATGCTTTATAGCAATAATCATAACACTTTATAAAGCATTTTATCATGACTTATAAGGTCCAGTATTATAATGTGTTTTAACTGTTTTTAATTCTTTTTATTTTTTATTTAACATGTTTGATGTCTCATTTTGCAACAGAACTTCGTATTCACTTGGTAATTTGGTATGGAGTTCACACCGCGTTATACCCATTCAATGAAGCGCATTGTTCCAACAAATCCCTGCTTTATATTCCTGAATAACCTTGACTGCCTTGGCGTTGAATGCACCACTTGGGGATCCAGGGACTCTCTTTGTCATTAGGAGCTGTTACACAGTAAATCTGGAAACTAGATTGCAGGGCAGTGAGCTGTGGAAGGGATCAGGAAGGTAGCAGCAAAGGTGGGATTGACAGCGCCGGCAGCTAAATCAAACAGACAAGGGGGAAATACAAATATTTGACTGAAATTCAATTGGCTTTTGATCAGACTCAATAAGAGGTTTTATAAACCAAGTAAGGTTGGATGGGCAGCGTCCTTCTGTATCACCATAGTGACAAACACATTTCAGCTTATTAGAGGATAATGCTGTGGGTGGTAGAGGAGAAAGGGGAGAGTGAAAGAGATTACTCCGAGAAAATAAGTAGGGAGGCACTAACTAAAATATATGCAGATGCAGAGTACCAGAAGGAACGAGAGCTGTTTTGAGGAGACAGGAGGACAGGTTAGCAAGGTGAAAGCTGACAGGATCAAGGATGGCATGGCTGACAGAGGAATACAGACTGTAATCAGCTGGTTTCATATTTGACTGCATTCATTTCTGACCAAACAAAGTCTGATGTAAAACTGCAGGGACGTTCTCTAATCAAGAGCGGAGGACAGCTGCATTTAAATGTGAGGAAAGTTAAGATGACAGAGGAGAACAATGCTGGAGTAATTTCTCCACCAGTAAAAGCTTTTACAGTTAACATGATAAAACATGATACTTGCATTCACAATGATTGCATTGGAAGAGAGGTATTTATTTTTCATGTGAACCTGAAAAATGTTTTTTTTCTAAGAATATCAAGGTTAACACTTAGTTGTAATGCCAATGTTACAGACTGTCCTGTGTTTAGGCTTGTACTTTTGAGCCAATTGACCCTCTTGAGTTACCGTAGCGGCTGTTGTTATAATCTGGCTGGCTATGCATGTGTGTTCATGTATTAAAGTACAAAACTGGCTAGTTTAATGACAAATATCTACTATCACTATCATTACTACAGGTGGACATGAACGATATGAAGGTGATCAGATTGAACTGCTGATCATTAAAAAATGCCAAGATTAGCTCTGACCCGATCTGACAATAATAAAAATCCTACTTGTGTACTGGTGTCATGTTCAAAAACGTTACATACTAATGTACTGTAAATCTGTAACACCTTCTTTAACACAGCTCTGATTAGAGTTTTGAAGCTGAAAACTGAATTGCAGCTGTTTTGCTGTTAATTTGAATAAAGGTCTTTCTCTCTTTTTTAATCAAAACTGGCTTGCAGGTGCAGTACAGTGAGGTTTAGGCCACATGACTTCTCATGATGAGGAGGATCAGTCCCTCTAAAAATTCCCTGTGTAATTGAGCTTGTTGGTTGAGAAGATTTGCCCAGAACTGAGAATAAAACAAATCAAGACTGAGTCTGATTTAAATTGCAATCATGTAAATGGTTGACTTGGCTCTAATGGTGATTGCGTTTCTTTCCACATCTGCCTTTACGATGCATTTTCATTCAAAATAAACAGCCTTATCCTCAGCGGAAAATCTCCCGAGGCTATTGACAAAAAAGGGTCAGAGCAACACTGAGGCTGAAAATACAGTTTATTGCATCACGCTGATTGACAGGTCTGATGTTTACAAAGCAAGGTAGTGTAGATTATAGGAAAACTGAGGCAATGTTTTTATCATGACTGCTGGTAATTCATGTATGGCCAACAGGCTTTACAATAGTAGCACATACAGGCGGCTTATTTTAGTCTATAAGTTGAAATATATTTATATGCATTCACAACCTCACATAAGAAATTTAAACTCTGACAAATGCAATACGCTCTTGTGTGGTAAAGCTGCATGCAGCCAGAAGCAGCCAGTTTCAAGGGACAGAGATCAGAGGGCCAATGAAATGTGTTTGTGGTATGAATCTGCGCTATCAAACTGCAAACAAACCCAGCAAGCAATCAGTAATGTTTCTGTGTACTTACAGACAGACTTTACCACTGGATAGCCTCGGTTTGCTATTAATGACCAATTGCATAAGCCCAGAGTTCAAACAGGCAAACAAAAACTGCCGCCGCGTTGAATTTATTGGCATTCATGAGGGATACATTTAA